GAGCCCTGACCTGCGCCCTGGCTCTGGGTGTTCAGGGTGGGGGCAACAGCCGGCTTTTGGCTCCTGCTGCACCCCAACAGCCCTGCAGGCCCCTGGGATCTCCTGCACTCCTACAACAAAACTGTGCGGCAGCATCCCACTGCACTGCGGGGCTGGCGGAGCCTGAAGGGTTAAGAGGGTACACCTCTGCAGCCCCTAGATGCCCACTCAGTCTGCTTTTTGCGGGGGACAGGGATGCTGGTCCAGCTGGACACACTCTGCCCCACCACTGCTGCTGGGCTGGGGACTTGGGTCCTGGGAGCTGTGTCTCTGGGGTCCCCAGTGCCGTGTACCTGGGGACCGGCCATGTGGGAGGCCCTGGGGTGCTGTCGGAGCATCCCGGGTGGACCGTGGCTGTGCTGGCAGCAGCCCTGCACCCCATGGTGATGGCTGGTGGCTTCAGGGGCCACCGAGCAGCATGTCCGCTGCCTGCGGGTGCTGTGAGCAGGGCCGGCGAGGTGAGCGCGTACTTGGCACCCACCTGCTCCTTGCAGAGAGCTGCAGCGCGTGTGGCCACGGCTCCCGGCGCTGAGTCACGGCCGCGCCGGGCCTGGCCAGCCCCGCGTCCCTCCTGCCTGTGGCCCAGCCCCCCGCGCACCTCTCGCTCCCCTGTGCTAGGAGAGGGCAGGGCTGGGACCCCCGGCATGGCTCCCTGCGCCCCACCGTCGCACTGCTCCAGCTACAAATTTGGGGGTAGGAAGGTCACTGGGGTCAAGGCACAGATGGGCTGTGGTGACACTTGCCCCTTCCGTCACCCTACCCATGCTGTACCGGGGCCAGGGAGTTCCCCCGCACTCCTCTTATGGTCTCCAGCCCCTGAGATTTCAGCTGAACCCCCTCCCCTGGGCACAGGCATCTCCAGCCTCCCCTGCCCAGAGCTGTGGGATGGGGAGGGGGTGGAGAGAGCCCGGACCCCCAGGTCCTTCTCCCGGCCTTGCAAACGAGCCAGGCAGGGCGGGTGGGGATGTGGGAGGTGGGGTC